TTGGAACATGCTTTTTTTAGGCTTATTTAGTCGTTTGGTGCGGGAGCCCCTGGGAGACATGTCCGTTCGGATCTGCGGTCAGGCCCCGCCCCCTGATTTTGAAGAGTCATGCCTTGATGCCATAAATTAATATGTTTCTATAGCCTCTTTAATTTTGTTAAAGATAGAATACAGTTTGGGTATTTGTGGAGATTTCCATAAGTTTCTAGGGTTTTCAATACCAGTAGGGCAACAGGAGTCTAGTGGAAAGGGTTTTGTTATGGCTCCTAAGATAAGAGAGGTCACCTCCCTCCATAAGAAAGATATATACCTTGGGACATTTCCACCAAACCTGGAAATAAATGCTTTTTGCATGATTTATTTCCAGTACCGATGAATCTGCATTTTACACATTTGTTAAGTTTTAACTGGAGTTATATACCATCTATACATGGTTTTACCATATGCCTTAAGAATCACATGTGGTAAAGAGAGTTAAAATGTTCAATTAACTACAGTGCTGTAAAGCAGGAACATTTGTCCTGTGTTTAAACTTATTTAATATTAATTGTTGTAACATGCTAGGTTAGATAAGAAGAAATTATCCTATTTGCTTTAATTGTATTTTTACGTTGATACAATCTGGAAGGGATATAGTTATGTAGTAATAGGGGCAGAATTACCATCCTACTCAATGCACACTATTATAGAAAGTGGTGCTTGCATTAATTACAGTGTCACAACTGTACTGAACATTTGTGTATATCAAGCAGCAATGGAAGTGATTATCTAAGTATTCCACCACATTAGACAAATACAAACACACACGTGATGTACACTTCCCCCCTCCTAGCATTTGTAGTGTGACTAGGCCAAGTTCTGCCATGTGACTGCACAATGAAGCAGCTTTAGTAACGAAGCTGACCAGAGTACACAACGTGGGCATCCACTGCTTCCCATTTAGCTGGCTTCTTCAAACCGATTAAAGTCCCAACCATGCTCCTGGTGCAGACCAGGCCACCAGCAATCTGGGACATGGAAAGCTGTGCCCTGGATTCAGACATACTTTTCTAAGAGTGTTTGGTGTTCACAAAATGCCAGCGGAAGGGCACTTTAAGAGCCCTGCACTACAGTGTCACACGTGAGTCCCAACTACTTGAATTAGTTCCCTATACAGTACTTCCTAATTCCTCCCTTTGATCAGAAAATCTGTGACAAATGAAGATAACAAGAGTCCATTTAACAACATTTAATGCGTGAACTTTATGCGATGCTCCAGAATGGAACCCACTTCCTAGGACTGACAAAAAACCTACATCAAAAGAAATATTTAAAAAGAGACTCATCTCTTTGCACGGACATTTAAACAGTACACACTGGTGAACTGACACTGGCATAAAACTGTTTTTTTCAGTCTAGGGTAAAAGTACTATAAGAATTGCTTTATGTTGATTATGTAGTTCAAAGTAGAGGTTTCATGTTTCATATGTATTTTTGTACTGTTGTGATGTGATACTCCGATTACCTATCAGCACCAGCTGTTATATTCTACACATAGTAGACTGTAGACACACTTGACATTAGCCTTGGGCATTAAAAAGCCCCGATGGACCTACATTGCAATTCAGTGTGATTGTGGTCAATTAAAAACATTTATTTTTTGAAAGAGCAACTTATGATTTATGATTCAAAATTCTAGCTCACACTTATTTCAACAGTGTCTGAATGTGTCTGTTAATGTTTATTTTCTTTTTAAATATTAAATGGTAATAAATAATGACTTACGAGTAAATAAGACGCACACTGTTTTAGTCTGGTTTGTCTGCTGTGAGCATCACCGCATTATAGACACTAGTGCAATACACTGGCTTCTCACCATCAGGAATACATGGGGTGGCAAGGCATAGATTTACTGCAATTCAAATCTGTGTCACTATTTGTCACAATAAGTTAAGAAACACTTTATGATATTAACTGGAAACTGTCACTGTGCTGAGATATCCATACACCCATCAAGATATTCATACCAGCTCGCAATCTATCCATGCCACCCGGCGATCTATCCATACCACCTCGGAAATTGTTTGTTGATTTTCATCTGACCACCTAAAAAAATGAAATTTTATCTACTTGCTGTCAGTGGTTTATAAAAATAAAAAAAATTCTCTGACATCAAGAAATAACACTGCATTATCAAATCATATTTTTATTTCTATGCAAAGTCTTACTCTGTTGTTAAAGGAACGCCATAGCGTTATGAATACAAATCGGTATTCCTAACGCTATAGTGTCTCTGTTTGTACTCTTTTTCAGTTTCCCCTGGTGCAAAAGAAAAAAAAAATATTAAACGTTTGCTTACTTCTCTACTATTGCCCAAATGACTTCCCTGTCAATGTACAATCCAATGATCTTTGTAGAGAAGCATTGGAGACCTAATGCCCATGCGTGGTATGCGCTGCATGTGCATTCAAACTTCCCCGTAGATAAGCATTGAATCAATGCTTTGCTATCGGACTTTTGTGTCACGTGACCGAGTTTTACTTAGTCAGCACAGCGGATAAGAGGTCTTATAGCCACTAGGGGTCTTACCACTGCAATGTAAATTTTTCAGTTTCTCAAATGCTGTAGTGTTTACACTGTAGGTTTAAGAGGACAGGTGCACTGTACCAAGACCACTTCAATGAGATAAAGTGATCTGGGTGCCTATAGTGTACTTTGAATGCTGCACTGTCATGTTGAGGAATGTGCATTGTTAGAAAAGTCCAAACCAGTGTAACATCACATGCCCACTTTCACAGTGGTCTGGTGGTTCAGGAGAGCTAAGAGATAAAGTTCTCATATAAAACAAGTATAAAAAAAATAGGTAATTGCAGTGCTTACAAGGATAAAAAGGTTCATAGTAATGCAACCATGGAATGCAGAACTTTCTTTTGGGGCAGTGATAATAGAAGAGAACCGGGTGCTCTAAGGCCCAAGTAGTCATTCAGGTTCTGCTTGCACATCTCAATGCATGTGCATTGACAGAGATGCCTTGTCACTAATTAACTCTTGCAACAATTTCCCCTATTTTGCCACAAATAAGATAAAATAGTCCCCACTATTTTACGTGTTTGTACATGAATAACAAAGAAAAAAAATATATATCCAACAAATGTATGAGTTATATAAAAATGTTAAAGTATATAATATCACAACGTTTGGTCTGAATTATAATAAAGACAGTAATAGCAGTGACCTAAAATTAAGCACACTATGTAATCCATTGACATTTTCCCCCCCAGAGTTTATACTTCTATTTACAATCTCTCTGGGTTGACAGCGGTACAGCTAGCAGACATTACCTCTGCTAATAATATAGCTACATAATAAATATGTGATATAGCTACAAAGTAAATATGATATACCTACATAATAAATATGTGATATACCTACATAATAAATATCTGATATAGCTACATAATAAATATGTGATATAGCTACATAGTAAATATGTGATATAGCTACATAATAAATATGTGATATAGCTGCATAATAAATATGTGATACAGCTACATAGTAAATATGTGATACAGCTACATAGTAAATATGTGATATAGCTGCATAATAAATATGTGATACAGCTACATAGTAAATATGTGATATAGATGCATAATAAATATGTGATATACCTACATAATAAATGTGATATACCTACACAATAAACATGTGATATAGCTACATAATAAATATGCGATAAATCCAGTGAAACATCCACAGTTAGATTAAACAATAGTGTAAAACCCTAGATGCACACAGCTTGGCATGTCACTTCCCCTTGGTTCTTGTGATATTTCTGTTAAGAGGTCATGTCTGGGAAACAAAGCTCCCTCTACCCTCCGGCTTGTTTCCTAACAGATTCTATTCCTCCCTCCCCCTAGCACGAGTTGTGCAATGGAGTCCGCGTGCTTAGTGTATGATTCTGGAGGCTCACCAGCTTCCAGCCAATAGGGAGTTACGATTTCTGTGGGCGCTGTCTTGCCAACCAATCAGGCGGGAGTGTTCATGCGCTCCCCTCGTGCAAGGCTCAACTCTTTCCCGGCTTTCAAAGGGTGGATTCGAACCCCGCCTACTCGCTTGGTTTCACCGCGTTCTAGCGTTCCGTCGTTTTATGGTGCTTTTGTATGTACATAACAAAGGCATGCTTCGCGCATCACTGTGTGGGAGGGAAAATACTGAGCAAAATATTTCTCTCTTCCTCAATGATTCATCTGAAACTACAGGGCACAAGTCAAAGAGAGAAGTGAAATATGATCTGAAAAGGAAGGCGCCCTTTTCATTAAAATTAAATAAATAAACATAATGAAGTCTGTCCCCTCCCCTACTCCCCCCCCCAAAAGTACAGAATTGTGGATCCAGTGTTTGTTTAAAGTGTGACTGGCCTGGAGTACTAAATTATCAGAATTATTGACACAATGTAAAATATGACACTCGAAGAATGGGTCTGAATAGTTTTATTATATAATGAACATGGTAAACGTTTGATAACATAATACTTACCTGGTAGTTTAGCAATATACGCAACAGGGTGTCAAGAATTGAGATGAGCATTCTGAATTTTGGATTAAAATAGTCAAAGTAGAAATGTTCAAGGAAAGACTTTTGTTTGGCAGCTCGGCTATTTGGTATAATATATGCAAATTCTTGGTAATTGCCAGCGATTGCTGATTTATGATTTCGTGAATAATCAGAACTCGAAAATAGGTGTCATAACAAAACACCATAAAATAATTTTAAAAAATATATTTTATTTTTTTACCATAAAATATGCATTGTGGTTGCCAATATCCTCTGTATAATGGTCACACAATCAAAATAAGATAGCATATAACCTATAGTTTTAGTGCTAAATAAACGTAAATTCATTGATCTAATATATAGACAATAAATAGATAAAAAAAATAATAACAAACGTTGCCATGCCATATTGCCACCAGTTTGTTATGAAGATTCAATGAAATGTTCAGAAATTAATCTTTTCATGCCTGACATGTACACTTTGTTTTACATTGTTCTGTTTTGATTTTTTTCCCCTGATACCTTCAGCGTCATAGGTTCTACTACAAACATGAGAGTTTTCCTTCCATGCCCATTTTAGGTACTCTAAAACAAAATGAAACTAGTTAATGTTTAAAGGGAAGCAAAAGCTGTGTCTAGTTTCTCTCCACAACCCCTTGCAGTGTTGGCTGTCCAATTTTTCTTCAACTTTCTGCTCTCTCACCTGCAGAAGAATAGAAAACAGAATGGATGGTAGATGACATTATGATTATCATTTATAAAGTGACAACATTTTCCTCAGTGATGTACAATGGGTTCCTAAAATATAAATATATAAACTCATGAGTCTGACAAGGTGACCAGATTTTGGAAATACAAAAAATGGTAGAATACTGGCAGCTGTTAAGATAACTATAAATTACAAACTACGAGAACATTTAATTGAACTTACCTACCTCATAACACTGCCTCAATCAACATAGCATTTTTTACTTTTAGGACCATGTATTTCATGCCCCTCTGTGTCTCTTTGTCGCCCCCCGCCTTCTGTGTATTTCTTCCCCCCCCCCCAGCCCCTCTGTGTCTCCTTGTAATCGTCCCCCCAGCCCCTCTGCCTTTTTTGCAGCTTCTCCAGCCCCTCTGTGTCTCTTTGTCCCCACAGCCCCCGGTGTCTCTTTGTCCCAACAGCCCATCTGTGTATCTCTTTCTCCCACCAGCCCCTTTCGTGTTTCTCTTCTCCCCAGCACCTTGTCTCTTCCTCCCCTCAGCCCCTTTGTGAGTCTTTGTCTCCCCCAGCCCCTCTGGATATATTATCCCCCTGCCTCGACCCCTTCCATAGCCCCTGTCTGTCTCTTTTTCTCATTCTCAGCCCCTCTGTGTCTCTTTGTGTATTCCCAAGCCCCTGTCTGCCTATTCCCCCCCAGTCACTGTATGTCTCTTTTCTTCAGCCACCCCGTCTCTCTTTTGCCCCGCAACTCCCCTTTGAGTTACATAGTTACATAGCTCAAAAGAGACTTGCGTCCATCAAGTTCAGCCTTCCTCACATTTGTTTTTGCTGTTGATCCAAAAGAAGGCAAAACGCTCCTCCCCTTCCCCCCTCCCCCCTCCCCCCCAGTTTGAAGTACTTCCAATTTTGTAACAAACTAGGGGGAAAATTTCTTCATGACCCCAGAATGGCAGTCAGATTAATCCTTGGATCAAGACGCTATTACCCTACATTGAAAAATTATATCCTTGAATATTCTGTTTTTAAGTTGTCCCCCTCCCTTGCGCCAAGTCACCTCCTTCTTGTAGCATGGCCAAGCTGAGGACCACAGTAGAGTAGCTTCTGTAACCTCTACCCAGTCTGACAGGAAGCAGTTCAGAGCACTCAGTAAGCACTTCCTATCAGACCAGATAGAGGTTCCAGCAGCTCCTCCACCGCGGCTCAGCAATGCTACGCATTTCGAGCCAGTTCGCTCTAATGCAGGCGCCTGTACCACTTTATGGTAGCAAAAAACTGGACATCTGTGCGTCCCAAGAAGGTAAGTCGGGAAGCTGGGACAAATCGCTGAAAACCAGGAGTATCCAAGTAAAACCATCACGTCTGGTCACCCTGGACTTACAGGAACTAGAGTTAATGAGGGCCCTTCTTACAGTAGTTTACATACCATATCCTAAGTAAAAGGAATTGTTTAAGAATACTGCATCCATGTTACATTTTGAGATGACTGCACACATATTAGTAAATCCATATTTTAGCATCTACCATAGTAACCTGTTCGATGTCACATGTGACATGTCTGTAGTTATTAGTTAGATTCAAGGTCAGAAATTTTCAAATGTTTGACCTTCACAAAGGTATATAAAACAAACCACTTGTGTCCCTGGTTTATTAAAGTGCATTTTAATGTATTTTTTTAACATGTCACAACCTTGATCTGACCTATTATTCACACACAAAATGTCAACCCTGAGCCTTGACTTCAACATGCCTTCAAAAACCTTGTGACTTTGTATTGTACACTATATTAGCTATATTTCAGTTTGTTCATCTTACTGTAATGACATGAGACATCGCTTGTCCTATTTTATTTTAATTTAGCACACATGCTGTAAAGTAGTCCGCGGAAGAAATGCTATAGAGCTGTACGGCGTATGGATATGACCAGTGACGCGGTTCTATATAAGGGCGCAGTGTTCTCCCGCCACGTCAGTCTGCTGCTGGAATGAAAGAAGGAACGTAATCTGTGTGTCTATCGCCGACGGACGACGTCACTTTCACAGAGAATAAAAAGCCCCATCGCCCCCCCGCTGCCCGTTCCTGTCTCGGTTTCTCTCCCTTTGCCGCTGCCGCGGTTGGATGTGCGCAGCCATGGCAGAATAGCGGCCGCGGTCCCCGGCTCCCCCCTCCCAGGCCAGAGCAAGGCGGCAACACCAGCATCGCTGGCAGCATCTGGCAACGGCCCAGCCATGGCGTGAGTACCCGGGGCGGGGGGCAACAGGGGGACTGGGTATAGCGAGGGCAGCCATTAAACAGAGCTAGAGGAATCTCAACTCCCATGATGCTCGGCCAGCCTTAGCCTGGAAAAGCGTCATGGGAGTTGTGTTCCATGATCAGCTGGGTTACTACCGTCTGTCAGCCTCTCATATAGGATGGGGGAGGTTAGGGGGGTATTATGGGCAGGGAATATGTGGCCCCAAGGTAGGACCCCCTCCTCCTCCCCCTCCCCCGGACCTGTCAGCCCTGGGCTGTCAAAGATTGGTGGGAGTTGTAATTTAGCATCAGCTGGTGGGCTGACTTTTTTTGGCCACCTATACTGTGGGCTATAGATTTGAGGGATATTATACCCCAGCTGTTGGAGAAATAAAATGTCACACGATGCACTGCCAATCTTGGACTGTTTGAGCATCATGGGAGTTGTAGTTATGTACAAGCTGGGGGTTTACACCATTTTTGGCCACTTCGTTACAGGTCACTACAGGTCATAGTTTTAAAAGGAAGCCTGTTAAAATGTATTCATCAGGGCTGTGTCCTGTTTGTATTCTATATTTAAAAAAAATATATATATATTTTAGGAGCATGTCCACGGTTTTAAAATTAACTCCTTTGCCCTCATAAAAGAAATGCCACATTAAAGTATTTGATGTCACTAATCTGTCTCTAGGGTTAAAAGTAAGGCAGACTGCAGGTTTCCCCTCTGGGTGAAAGGTTTTGTTGGCTGCCATGTGGCTTGGGAATGTCCAATTATTTCCCATTTTAATATAGATGGCCTTTCCCAGTAGGGTTCTCAGCTGCTAAATTAGCTGTGGTTCAGCAGATGCTCTCTAAAACCCTCTGTGGGGAATGCAGCTTCATACCCTGGAGATTCTCCATTTACAGTGGAGCAGATGGGATGTAGTAGGCTTATTTTTAGTATTGTGATGCTATGATCTAGTTCTTTGTTATGGGTCACCCTGCAACAATGTAATGCATGTGCTCTAGATGAAGGTATTCCAATGTTGTTCAAGGCATAGCAAAGCTGTAACTAGGTGAGTTTTAACAGAAGATGAGCTGGATACATATGGTTAAATGTAGTTAATACTAAAATGGCTGGTGCTGCCCTGAGGGTGGAGCAGAAACCAGACTGTAGAAATGTGAAATGGCTGCAGAGCAGCTCTGAATCATAGACATGGGGTGTGGCTGGAGGAAAGATGACCATATTTGGTCATTAGGAAACTGCTAGTTTTAGAAGTCTAGAATATCAAAAGCTGATTGCAGCCGAAAGCGGAGCTTGGGCAAAAGAATATACAAGTGAAAATGTTCTTCACTCAATCTGAAATGTCTAAATTCTTTTCTTTTTATTTTCTTTTTATTTGGCAGGCTTCTCAAGGTATCAAGCAGCAGCATTGCTGTCTACAGGAAAGAAAGCTCAGAATCGACCTCGCTACTGAAATCCCTTATATCAGAGAAAAATGAGTTTATTAAACGACGAGATGCTTTTGGGGGACTTTCTGTCCCCCTTCAACCAGCCGTTTTTGGCGGCTGAGGAAAGTTTGGGTCTCTTGGATGACTGCATTGAGGTGCCCGGGTACCTCTCTTCGCATGGGTTCTCCAGCAATAAGGCTAAGAATGGCGTCTCCGAACTGCTGCCTTTGGTGGAATCCTTTAGCAGTGTTCAAGGTAAAAAGAACACCTCTTTTAAAATGCGAACAATGGTGTCACTGTCTTAATCTGAAGCAGTCTAGTAATATGGCCTTGTTACTAAAGCAACTAAATGTTTGATTGCAAAGTGGTGCTGCCCCCTGCAGTCTTATTGAGTAATGGAACACCTGACACTGATATGGATATCTATCTTATTCATGAAAAGTGCCTGACTTTTATGTATTTATTTATTTTTATTTTGGCTGTATAGTTAATCTGAATTTATTAATTATATCCTCTTGTTTTGTAGGGGATGCCTTCTCTGGCATGGATTGGATGGTGGAAAAGATGGATTTGAAGGAATTTGATTTTGATTCCTTGTTTGGGATAGATGATCTGGAGTCCACCATCTCACCAGATGAGCTTATGGCCACGTTGGAAGACTCCTGTGATTTCCTTGAGGACCCGTCTCTCCCAGTGGTGTCTGGCCAATGTGTACCATCACCAGACCCACTTTCAATTCCAGAATGCTCACTGGAGTCTGATCAAGTGGCTCCAGTGAGCCCAGAATTATCAAAGTCCCTAGTCTCTAGCCCAGACCATTCCTTTATCTTAGATGTAGGACTTGAAGAAGTTGTAGCTGGGGAGGATAAAAACACCATAGCAGTATACAGTCTTGGAATAAAATGTGAGAAAGAGGATTCCTCTGATAATGACAGTGGAATCAGCATGAGCCCCCCATATCTGGAATCTCCTCAGCAAAGCCCAGAATTTACAGCAGATAATCCAAGTAGTGTTCAGTCAATTCCTGAATCCCCAATATCTGAGAGACCCAAACCCTATGATCTTCCCTCTGAGAATAGAGAAGTGTTGGCAAAGGTAAAAGTAGCTGGAGGGCATCCCAGAGTAGACAAGAAAAAGAAGAAAATGGAGCAGAACAAAACAGCAGCCACTCGCTACAGACAGAAGAAAAGAGCAGAGCAGGAGGCAATATCTGGAGAGTGCAGAGAACTAGAAGCAAAAAATGATGCTCTACAAGAGAGAGCAGATTCTATTGAGAAAGAGATCCAATATTTAAAAGATCTCATCGAAGAAGTCCGTAAGGCCAAAAGCAAACGAGCAAAAAGTTCTTAAGTAGAAAAAAGATGGAGCGTTGTGTATGTTGTACATAGAGCTAACTCTGTTAAGTATTGTGTGAGAATGTCTGTCTACTAAATAAATTATTTTATAGTTAAATGGAATATGGTTTTTGGAGCCTTATTGGGGAATTAAGAGTATTAATGACTATCTGTGATGTCAAGTTCAACTAAGTTTATAAAAAGTGATATTTGTTTTGGTGGGTATTTTATTTTACCTGAACCTTTTTTATTTTTTTTATTTTTTTCTTCACTTGCCCTAAATTGGTAACTTTCAATTTACAAAGTAGGAATTTAGTTCTCTAAATTCTAAAACAGTTGTTTTACAAAGTAAACACAGAATTTACACAATTATTCAATAACTTAACTTTTACACAGCCTCATTTTTACATTTTTCTTTCTTCTACCAAAAAGTGTCAGTCTGTTCAAAATGTGTAAACAATACAGTTGATTTCCTAAAACTCTGGTAGTACAGTTTTTCTGCATATTAGGTTCAGCTATCTGCTGCATACATCTGAAAAACAAATTTAGCAGGGGTCGCCAAGAAATGGCCACATGTGGAGCTTAAAGTCCCATAGAAATAGTGGAACTTGGTCCAGCAATACTGCTCTTTACTCCCTACACCCAGTGTATTTTTGGCATCGAACTGTTTGATTGGCAGAGGAGTTAGAAAAGCACACTGTCACTCCCCCTTTAAAATTAGTATTTCACAAATTTCATATCCAGTCAAGAGATAAACAGAGACAAAGTACTCGGTCTATAGAAGATCTTGCAGGATCCTCCATACACCTCAATACTAGACTCTTGCGACGCACGAGAGTACAGCAGTGGTATTGGCAATGCAGGAGCTGAAGAGGATCTGCTGGAACAAGATGGCTGTGCCTGCGACTGACAGGTTCAAGTAAATCTCCCCTTTACCAGCAACCAATTCCCTCAGTGGCAGTGTCATTGTCAGTTCTGCGAATCTGACAAAGCCTTACAGTGACTATAAAACTTAATTTCACATTCAATGTTCTTATCCCAAATAAAGCAAACTTGGCATTTACACCTTGGATATGTGCAAACTGAAACATAGAATATAAATTATTTACATCCAACTTACTCCGTCTTGGTGCATGTATGGGGTACTGAAGTAGATTTTTGAGCCATGAACACCCTACCACCCAGACCTTAACCATAGTTCTCCCAGCTGTGACAGGAGCATGAACCAAACTGCAAATAAGACTGATTTCTTTCCAAAGTGGGGTTATAATAAAATGTTTTAAGGGATGGATAGGGCTTTAAATGAGACCCTCATTCACCCTATAAAATGTGTTCCTGAGTATTTGTGGGGCATGTTGCCCCCTCATTCTAAAAAGAGTTGCTTGTCTACAGGGTTAATTACTAAAGTGAGAATTAATTGTGAATTTCACATTTGAATGCTCTAGTAGCTGAAATGAAAGCATGACTGAAGTAGAGAATCTTTACAGTTTGGCTATATTGACCTTAAATTTAAAATTCATTTTTAAATCACTTTCAATTTAATCATATAGGACAGTGATGGCGAACTGGTGGCACGCTGGGCACGTGGCCATAGCTCGCCATCAATGCAGAGTAGGCACCTACCTGCCCAAAACGGCAGGCGCCTACTCTGCTTCCGTGTCAGGAGGACAGGGGGAGTGTTCTGAGAAGCACCCATACACTGCACCCCTCAATGCAGCATGTGTGTATATATTCAGCAGTTTGTGTGTGTATTCAGCAGTCTGTATGTGTATTCAGCAGTCTTTATGTATTGAGCAGTCTGTGTGTAAGTTTGTGAGTGCGTGTATGCAATGGACTGTGTGTATGTCTGTGTGTATGTATTTTATGTATGTATTGCATTTGTTGGAGATACTAATAAATATAAGCCTAATTTTATCAATAATTTAAATTTTTATTCCTGTGAGTTGTGTGTAGGTAGGGCCCCAGTGCATTGCTTTGCCCGGGGCCCATAATTTTGTTAAGGTGGTACGGATGGGTGGGATGGAGGGCTGCGAGGGAACACTGACTTACGTGCTGTTACAGCACTGCTCCCTCCATTGATGCCGCCGGGAGACATGAAATGACGTCAATCAGGCGCTGCCGCCTGATTGACGTAATTTCCTGTTTTGTCGGCAGCATCAGCAGAGGGAGCAGTGCTGGAACAGCACATAAGTCAGTGCTCCATCGCGCCCACACCCCCTTACAGTAGCGGGAAGGAGGTAGGGAGACTGGGAGGACTTCAAACTCCCATCCGCACCAAAAAAACCCCCATTATTTATGTGCTGGTAGGGAGAGTGGGGATATCCAGGCGTAGTGAGGGGAAGATGCCTAGGGGAGAGAAGAGGAGGAGATGCTGGGGCGAGAGAAGAGGAGGATTAGTTCGGACAACTGTACGATTTGTTTTTTCTAAACTTAAACCTCAGTATTCAGGTTTAATTGCCGTGTTGGCACTTTTAGGGAGGAAAAAAAGATGGCATGTATTGTGGTTTGGGCACTCTGGCTCAAAAAGGTTCGCCATCACTGATATAGGAGCTATGTGGACCCCTAATAAACATGATTTGCAGGTGGTCTGCTGTCTAATTGCAGTCACCGGGATTACCAGTGATGTGACTTCTTCATATCACTGGACTGCTTGGAGCAATTAATATGGTCTGCTCTACCACACAACTGCGGCTGCACCGGGAACACATTGGACTACATAGAAATGAATTATTGCAGGGTGCAATTATCTAAAAACAAAAGCCATTACAGTGTGGGGAGACTTCCACACACTCACCTTTCCACAGTCACTCAACCCTAATCTTGTTATACTCACTAGCCCTCACCCTGCTACAATCACACCCCCCCCACACTATCATACTCACTGCCATAACCCGTTACACTCACCACTCCTCATTGGCATTCATATAGTGTGCAGGAAATAGGGTTTCCCATTGGCAAGGTTAGCCAATGTCTGAAATAGAGAAACTGCAGCATAATCATCTCACTGCTAGGTCAGTCTTTTGCTTTAAGAGATATTTGTACAAACATTATTATACAATATACCAAACGTAACGTGTATATTTTAAGAACTGTACAGCAAACTAAAATTAAATAATGTTATCAGATATAATCTTTTTAAACAAGTCTACAAAGTAGTGCTGAAATACAAATGTAAATAAAACATTAAATTATAAATCATTTAATTTAGTATAAACTGTCTCAGATTTCTAAAGGTTACTTGGACAGTAGCCAACCAGGTTTTGATTAGGGTTAATGTACAATTTTCTGGTTTGCTTTAATGTTTTCTTTTTTTCCTGGCATAGCACAAATGTCCTTGAGTTTCACAAAATATTCAATAGGACCTGTTTGGCAACAATACTGTTTGAGCATGCAGAGGCTGGTTTGGCTCTGAATCTCCGAAAAAAGCTTCAGCTGGGTCAACATATTTGACATTTACTTGTACACAAATGTTATCATGAACAGATATAATTATTATTATTTTTTTTAACATACAGGTCATGCTGTCCCCTTTGATCCACATTATTATATTTATATAGCGCCATCAGATTCCGTAGCGCTGTACAATGGTGTAACATAGGTATGTGTTCACAGATTATGAGAGTTTTTTCCCCTAGATCTGTAGAATGCATAATAATATTTGTAATGTCTTCCTTTAGAACATGATTTTTAAATTTAAAAAAAGGTATATCATTTTTACACTAGGTTTTACCTAGGATGACAAAGTAGTTGAACTGGAAGCAAAGCTGACTTAGTGAAATTATTCCAATTCATTTGTATTGGCCTTAAGTTTGAAATTCAGTTTGAATTCTCAATAAAATATATACAACAAAATTAACCATTATAGGTTACAATGTGTTAAAACGAGTAGGGAAAACCTCACAAGTGTTCAAACACAAAATATTAAAAGTAAACAGACAAAAGAGAAAGTAGAAGGATACCTAACAATAGTGTGTAATCAAAGCGTATATAAATACAATATGTAAAATGGAATATAAGACTATATATAGACCCACAGGGGATACACAAACACAAATTATATAGTGCATTACATTATGTACTGATGGGAAGGAGGAGAATGGTGTTCGAGCACTAACAAGATGCAAAATAATTCCAGGCTGGTCTCTCCCACAGGGGTATTCCGGTTGAAGTATATCTTCACTCTGTAGCTGAATAATTTTTGATGCATGTAGGACAGAAAGAACAGGAAAGATCGTGGAATATTGTACATAAATTGATAATGCACTTAGAGGAGCAACAAAATATGTGCACCACATATGAAGAAAGGGTATCTTTAGTAAGCAGGTATACTCCCAATCGCTAAAAAAGCTGGACACCAAAGCAGGAAAAAGTACAATAAAATAATTACAATAATGGATGTTATCCAATGCGTTTCATCCATCCGGACTTCTTCAGTAAGACCCTTCTCCCCATTCCCGTCAGTGCTTACTGTATAACACTATATAGTTTGTATTTGTTTTCAGATATCCCCTGTGGGTATATATATTGTTTAGTATTCTACCTTACAGGTTGTATTTATTATTATACACATATGTTTTGATCCACTTGTTGATGTTTATTATGATTATGTATTATTGTTTGGAATTCCTCCACTTTCTTTTTTTGACTATTTTCATTACACTGACAGTCTTTCTTTATGGGGATGGTGATGCAAATTCCCCATCACTTTAACCAAATGATCTGCTCTCATTGGATTTTTAAAAGTGTCTCCTTAAAGGAGGGTTTTACGTCAGCTATAGAGAAAGTACTCTACTATAGTCTATTATACATATTTCTAGTTCTAAAATGCTGCTGCATGGAGTAACAAGACTAATTTGTGTAAGTGGATCAGTAGCCACACATCCTACGCAAAATAAATGTGAAAGCACATGATCCAGTGCATTATTTGTCGTATAAGTAAATGTTTGTTTGAAACTCAAATACAAAGACATAGCTCACAAGCATATGGGATTATAAACCGTACAGTTCAAAACCATTATAACAAACTATGATGAATCCTCTGCAAATCTCTACTGGTACAATTCCTACTAGATGGTGACACTTTAAGAGAGACAGGGGGTGAAGAGTGAAAATTAATACTTAAAGGGATAATATAGGCATCAAAACAACTGTAGCTTAATGAAGCAGGTTTGGTGTAATGCCACTGCTGTATTACGAATTTGACGCCTATAATGTCCATTTAAGTTCACCCTCATCGACAGCTCCATCTTCCTTCTTCAACTCTGGGCAGATGAGTCACATGAGGCCTTATATCTTGGGTTAAGCTTAAACAATCACAATTACTCCAAAGTAGATTTATTGACATAATTCATATTGAATTATAGAATCTAAATGGCTTCATATACCACTGAAGACATTTCAACAAAGTAAGCAATAACACAATATTGAGCGGTTTTGCGCACGAGCTGAACAAAAACCACAAACACCTACAATGAAATAATAATGTTTTTGGAAGCATCATTACCAAACATTTAAATGTTCCCTGGTTGATTCATTACAGCAACAGAACAAGTTGAGAAAACATCAGCCAAAAACAGGCACTGGATTGTGATCAAGGATATATATAAAAGATTTACATACTTAATAATAATGCAACTCTAAGTGCACTGAAATATTAGTACAGTTCAATACGGTCTGCAGTACTTAGTTTGATTATTGTAAAGATTGAGGGACACATAAATCTTTGGGTGTGTTGTGATCTCACACAATCACAGACTA